ACATTCAGCCAACCAGAAAGAAAGAAAGGCCCCGATATTTTCTGGTCCTCCGATCTTTCCTGATCCGTCGTTTCTGCCTCCCTGCTTCTTCGGTCACATGTTCTTTTTCGACCGTTGTCGAAGACATGAAAGCCGCTGCCACACCTAGGAACTTACACATCTTCGGAAAGCAACAGCACATCTCGGCTGTTTCGGATCTAGATGGAGGGCGGGGGAAATTAGGGACTAGAGTTGAGGGTTCATGGGTTTAATTTTGGAGATGCATCTAGGAGTTTCCGAAAATAGGGGACCCTAATATAGTACCCTAAATAATAGGATCCCTATTATAAGGACCCCAAAATAAGGTACCCTAATTTTCGGAAGCCCCCATCTAGGTCCTAGGTGGATTGAGGGCGTAAGGCTTCGATGGCCGACCACTCGCCCGAAGCTGCCAGAGACGTCAGGGCAACACCTCGAGAGAGAAGTTCAGATCCCAATGTAGACGCCTGACAAACAAGCTTCCGGCTTTGAGGGGCAAGGTTTAGGGTTTAGGGTTTTAGGGTTTAGGGTTTAGGGTTTAGGGTTTTAGGGTTTAGGGTTTAGGGTAAGAATACCGGGGATCCCGATGATATTTATTCCTTACAGAAAAGGGGAGTGGGTGTCCGAGCCAGGGGTCTACATGAGAGACTTCGTATCAAGCCATGGGTGCTCCTTCGAATGATTCTTCATCTTGATTGTAGAGAACAGGATTTAGGGTTTAGGGTTTTGGGGTTTAGGGTTTAGGGTTTAGGGTTGTCATTTAGGTCCAAGCACTCTATACTACTATACCCTAAGCCTCGGGCCTTGTCCAAGTACCCTAAACCCTAATCCCAAAGCCTTGAAGCATAAACCCCGATCCCTAGACCCTACACCCTAAACCCTAATGCCTAAAGCCTAAACCTTAAAAATCCCCAAACCCTAAGCCATAATCCTGAACCTTAAACCCTGATCCCTAAACCTTAAACCCTAAATCCCAACCCCTAAGCCCTAAACCCGAAAGGCAAGAAGTCGTAGAATTTCGAGTTGCAGCTTACCCCAAACCCTAAACTCTAGACCCTCAAGCCCCAAACCCTACACCCCCAAACCCTAAACTCAAACCCTAAACTCTAGACCCCTAAACCCCTTACTTCTGATTGCACGGGTTGCCTCAGGTGATGGCCGTTTCGGGCCGCAAGCTCTCTATGGTGGAGGACCTCAGGGTTTGACCCGGAGAGTTTAGGGTTTAGGGTTTAGGGCTTAGGGTTTAGGGTTTGGGATTAAGGGTTTAGGGCTTTGGGTTTAGGGCTTAGGGTTTAGGGTTTAGGGTTTAGGGTTTAGGGTTTAGGGTTTAGGGTTCGGGGAGACCCCGGTTTATGACCCTAAAACCCTAAACTAAGGGTCATAAGGTTTTAGGATCATGACCCTAAGGGGCCATGAAGCCTTATGGTTTTAGGGTTTAGGTAAACCCAATACCTTGGGACTGTAAATCCTATATCCCTTGAGTCAGGGGGGATCTGCTGGAACTTCTGTAAGGATCCCATGCATGATCATCCATGTATCATGGCATGTTATTCTATTACACTACATGTTATTTTATATCTAAAGTTCTGTCATATGCTATTTATGTATATATACACATTTATGTATGGGGGACTCAGAGCTGCGGATGTCGGCGCGCCCGCGAACCAGTGTCAGTACGCTTTGGTGTCGAGGGTTTAGGGTTTAAGGTTTGCTACATACTACCCCTAGGCCCTAAACCATAAGCCCTAAACCCTAAATGGTAAGGGGTTTGATTTTTTTTGGTAAGTTCTCGTATGCTTCGCTGTTTCGACTGCACTTTGAGGGCTCCTTCAATGCATAATGCATGACAGAGAGCGTTTAAGGTTTTTGTATACATACATACACACATATTCGGCTTAGGGATCAGGTCTTGGGATTTAAGGACTTAGGGTTATGGGTTCAACAAGGGATCCTCCGATCTCCCCCCTCACAGAGAAGCCACTAGTTTGACACAGACACCTGGGGTTGAGGGTACGGTTTGGGGCTGAATATATATATATATATATATATGTATATATATATATATTATAATGTATATATACATATTTTTTCTGAGTTTGGAGTCTGACGTTCAGGTGCTTTGGTTTAGGATTCGCGTTGCTCCTTGATTCGGAACTTCACTTTAGCTCATACGTCTGAACCCACTTTATATTCCTAGTATGTCTGGTCGTACTGAAGCTATTACCCTGAGTGCCCAAAAAGTCGCTGAGTTTTAGCCGCTCTCTTGCAGTAGGAACGGTGGTAATGACATTGCAAAGTATACTGCTCAATGGTAGGTGCCGCAACCATGGGCTCAATCCAACGTGAATGTCGTGAACCCAGGTGAGCTCGAAGACCGCAAGGATGTTGATGAGGATGCTGTAATCGAAACTCCAGAACAAATAATCGGGCACCTCAAAATGACGACACTCCGCAGTCGTGCCTGGCTGGTAATGGCAGCATCGGCCCATCGTGTCTTGCACTTTGGCCTCCCTAAAGACTACAGTCCGGACACCTTTTTGGGCTTCCCCAAAACGAACTCTATGAGGGTTGTGTCGAGAGGACTCGGTACTAAGCTGGAAGACTTTTGTCCAACAGCAGGGCCAAATCCTACACAAATTCCATCAACCCGAAACTCGGAAAACTAAGTTTGAATTGAGGGTTTTTAGGTTCCATCCACAGGCTTCTCAACCCGAAGATTGCAGTTATCAGCTTGCTAGCCAGCCGGCCAGAGGAAGTGCAGCAAGGCTCTCTGCAGATGGCGGCGTCGATGAACGACTTCTTGAAGGCTGCGTACTCCAGTCTTACCTTGTGGTGGCAGCGTCCCTGTTTTACTCTTCCCTGGGTAGGGGTTTAGGGTTTAGGGTTTAGGGTTTTGGGTTTAGGGACAGTAGAAGCCCAAAAGTTGGAAACCCAATAGCCTCAATCCTTAAAAGTAATGTACAGAGAATCCCAGCACTATTTGTCCTTGATCCGGTTTCCAACTTTTTGGCCCAGCACCTAAATTCAACCCCTAAACCCTAAACCCTAAATCCTAAACCCCCCACCCAACCCAAATCCTGAATTCCTTCCTGAACCCTAAACCCTTAAACCCTAAACCCTAAACACCGAACCCTCACCCTCAACTAAAAACTTTGGTCCTGAACTCTCGAACCCACTCTGAACACAGCCAGCAACGCAAACAAGCTCGGAAAACCATAGAATAATAGAGTTTAGGGTTTAGGGTCTAGAGGTTCAGGGTTTAGGTTTTAGGGTCTAGTAGAACAAAGCTTCAATCAGTAAACCCCAAAGCCATGCGAGCCATGCGAAAGATAACCAAGTGTTAAGAAAGCGCCGGTCGTGTTGTTCCTTTTGAGGGTTCCTTTATGGGTTTAGGGCTCAGGTTTCCTGTAAGGGTGCCGTCTAAGGAGTCCTTTTGTGAGTTTGTTTCTGTTGACATCGTCTTCATTGTGTATGGCCTCGGATTGAATCTTGGTCTACTGTGGTTTTCAAGATCGGGTCGGAGTTTTGTACGCCTCCGGGCAAGCCCGTCTTGAGAACAAGCATCATCCCTTCTGATTTTCTCCAAGGAACCTGAAGGGGAATCAGAAGGCAACAGCGACGAAGAGGAGATGGAGCCCAACTCAACCTTTTTCGGTGGTGTTCCGCCGTTACATTCCTGACAGTGACCCGAAGAAGATTGCCGTTCATGAGGGCGCTGCTGGAAAGCCCATGGCTCCGCCGCGGGGCGTCAGCCACCACCGACATGGCAACCGCTGCGTCTTCCTGCAATCGGATGCCGATGTACGCAGTGACTCGAAGCTCCAAGCTTACATCCACAGATAGCTTTCCTGCTTTAAATACCCCAACCAGCTCTTTCGGGGCTGTGCCCTCAATATTTTCAACCTGGAGTTATACCAGGACATATTAAGCTACTCCTGAAGCCCTAAGCCCGGTAGTGTCCCTCTGATTACAACAAACAACAACTACTACTACTGCTACTACTACTATAACTACTACTACCGCTACTACTACTACTACTACTACTACTACTACTACGACTACGACTACCACCACTACTTCTACTACTACTACTACTACTACTACCACCGCTACTACTACCACTACTACTACTACTACTACTACTACTGCTACTGCTACTACTACTACTACTACTACTACTACTACTACTACTAGTCACCCCCCCTAGCAACCACCGGCGCCATCCGGGCTGGGCAGTGGCAGCTTCTAGGCTCCCTATACCGGCGGCAGCTGCAGAAGATGCAGGGGCTCAGGCTCCCCATCTGTGACAGCTGCAAAAGTTGCAGAGGCTCACTTGCCTTAATTGTCACAGTCGGTGAAATTGCAGAGGCTCAGGCCCAAAAACTGCGACAACAGTTGGAGTTGCAAACTCGATGGGAAAGAAACTGCTAAAGCACAGGCAGTCGGATAGTACGAAAGCGCTGTAAATACGGTGCAAAACGCATGTGCTGCCCAAGGTTCAACCAGAAGCGCAACATCTTGTAACAATCAAAAACAAAGATGCCAGCTGTACGTGGGAGGAGCTCGCCAACACCCGTAAAACCCAGACCTCGGCGTAGGAGGGCTTGCTTTTGAAGTACCGTGTGGTGTGCGTGCGCTAGGTGTGGAGATATTGTTCGGGGTGTCCGCGAAACAGTGTCGTGATCATCCCCCGAGCCAGTTTCGAGTTATATCAAAGTCGAGTTCGCAAAGTGCAGAAGTAGGTTTGGTGAATATATAAGAGGGTCCGACATCACGAAAACACTGTACATACCAAGAAAAACGGCTCTTGTCGAGATGTTGTTCGGGGTGTCTGCGTAACAAAGTCGTCCCCCACCCCTCCCATTTTTCTAAAATCCAGGAGTGGATTTTGAGGCAAGAAGAAGTGGTATGACACGGCGAACGTACCGTAAATACCGAGTAAAACGGATGTGCTGTTCAGAGGGTTTGTAGCAGGGGTGGTTGGTAGGGGGGCCAACAACAACAACAACAACAACTACTACTACTACTACTACTACTGTGAGGGTCCCAGCTCCAGACCCCCTTAGAAGCGTAAGAGAGATGTTCCTCATTTTGGCCCCTGTCAGACCTTGGAAGATCGTATGCGGCGGCTGCACTTGCAAAAGAAGGAAGCGAAAGCGGAAGCGCGCGCAGCTGCGAAAGCACTGAGGAAAGAAACTCGCCGCGAGCAAAGCTTCAAAAAGCGTGCCCGAGAGCTCTCAGTGGCGGACCTGTTAGATGTACTGGCAGTCAAACGTGCTGCTGATGCTGCTAACAGAGCGTAGAAATCATGTTCGGAATGGCGGGCTCGCCAAGCTTGTGAAAAAGCTTCCTCTTTTGTCGCGGTGCCAAGGACGCTCCACATCGGATAGCGGCGGCATGCTCAGAGGAATTTAGCGATGGGATGAAAAAACAATACCCAGTGCGGTAGGTCTTAGGTCTCAAGGCGCGGTAGGTTTTAGGTCTGAGGAAGGCGCGGTAGTCTTCGGTCTGAGGCAAGCGCGGTAGGTCTTAGGTCTGAGGCAGGCGCGGTAGGTCTTAGGTCTGAGGCAGGCGCGGTAGGTCTGAGGTCTGAGGTGCGGTAGCTGTCAGCAAGTGAGGCAGGCGCGGTAGGTCTGAGGTCTGAGGCAGGCGCGGTAGTTTTGAGGTCTGAGGTGCGTAGGTTTTAGGTGTGAGGCAGGCGCGGTAGGTCGTAGGTCTGAGGCAGGCGCGGCAGGTCTGAGGTCTGAGGCAGGCGCGGTAGGTCTGAGGTCTGAGGTGCGGTAGGTTTTAGGTGTGAGGCAGGCGCGGTAGGTGCTAGGTCTAAGGCAGGTGTGGTGGTAGGTGTGAGGTTTGAGGTGCGGTAGGTGTCAGCGCGGTAGGTCTGAGGTCTGAGGCAGGCGCGTTAGGTCTGAGGTCTGAGGTGCGGTAGGTTTTAGGTGTGAGGCAGGCGTGGTAGGTGTTAGATCTAAGGCAGGTGTGGTAGGTGTGAGGTCTGAAGTGCGGAAGGTTTTAGGTGTGAGGCAGGCGCGCGCTGAGGAAGCGCGGTAGGTCTGAGGTCTGAGGTGCGGTAGGTTTTAGGTGGGAGGCAGGCGCGGTAGGTCTTGGGTCTGAGGCAAGTGCGGCAGGTCTGAGGTCGCGGTAGGTCGTAGGTCTGAGGCGCGGCAGGTCTGAGGTCTGAGGTGCGGTAGGTGTCAGCAAGTAAGGCAGGCGCGGTAGGTCTGAGGTCTGAGGCAGGCGCGGTAGGCCTGAGGTTTGAGGTGCGGTAGGTTTTAGGTGTGAGGCAGGCGTGGTAGGTTAGGTCTAAGGCAGGTGTGGTAGGTGTGAGGTCTGAGGCGCGGTAGGTCTTAGGTTTGAGGCTGGCGCGGTAGGTCTGAGGTCTGAGGTCTGAAGTAGGGAAGGTTTTAGGTGTGAGGCAGGAGCGGAAGGTCGTAGGTCTGAAGCAGGCGCGGCAGGTCTGAGGTCTGAGGCAGGCGCGGTAGGTGTGAGGTCTGAGGCGCGGTAGGGCTTAGGTCTGAGGCTGGCGCGGTAGGTCTGAGGTTTGAGGCAGGCGCGGCAGGTCTGAGGTCTGAGGTGCGGTAGGTGTCAGCAAGTGAGGCAGGCGCGGTAGGTCTGAGGTCTGATGCAGGCGCGGTAGGTCTGAGGTCTGAGGTGCGGTAGGTGTTAGGTCTAAGGCAGGTGTAGGTCTTAGGTTTGAGGCTGGGCGGTAGGTCTGAGGTCTGAGGTCTGAAGTAGGGAAGGTTTTAGGTGTGAGGCAGGGCGCGGCAGGTCTGAGGTCTGAGGTGCGGTAGGTGTCAGCAAGTGAGGCAGGCGCGGTAGGTCTGAGGTCTGAGGCTGGCGCGGTAGGTCTGAGGTCTGAGGAAGCGTGGTAGGTCTGAGGTCTGAGGTGCGGTAGGTTTTAGGTGTGAGGCAGGCGCGGTAGGTCTTAGGTCTGAGGCAGGTGCGGCAGGTCTGAGGTCGCGGTAGGTCTGAGGCAGGCGCGGCAGGTCTGAGGTCTGAGGTGCGGTAGGTGTCAGCAATTGAGGCAGGCGCGGTAGGTCTGAGGTCTGAGGCAGGCGCGGTAGGTCTGAGGTCTGAGGTGCGGTAGGTTTTAGGTGTGAGGCAGGCGTGGTAGGTGTTAGGTCCAAGGCAGGTGTGGTAGTTGTGAGGTCTGAGGCGCGGTAGGTCTTAGGTTTGAGGCTGGCGCGGTGGTCTGGAGTGGGGCGGGTTTTATAGGTGTGAGGCAGGCGCGGTAGGATTTAGGTCTGAGGAGGTGCGGTAGGTCTGAGGTCTGAGGTGCGGTAGGTGTCAGCAAGTGAGGCAGGCGCGGTAGGTCGTAGGTCTGAGGTCTGAGGCGCGGTAGCTGTCAACAAGTGAGGCAGGCGCGGTAGGTCTGAGGTCTGAGGCAGGCGCGGTAGGTCTGAGGTCTCAGGTGCGGTAGGTTTTAGGTGTGAGGCAGGCGTGGTAGGTCTTAGGTCTGAGGCAGGCGCGGAAGGTCTGAGGTTTGAGGTGCCGTGCAGGTCTTAGGTCTGAGGTGCGGTAAGTTCTAGGTCTGATGCAGACTTGTGAGCAGGCCGAGATTTTGGGTGTCGCTTTGCCAAAAAAGCCCAGGGCGCGTGAATGCGAGCATCATCAACACGATTCTTCAACTGCAGGAGTGGGCTCGATACAAAGGCCCAAACCTAGCCCACTTAAAACAACCTACACCGCGCCTGCCTCAAACCTACACCATCAAACCCTCCACCCTAAAAGCCTTAAAGTACGGCTCGAACCTGCCACGAAATCGGCCATTCCCAAGGTCTGTCGTGCTGATGCCGGCCACGCTGTAAAGCCAGGCTGGACTGCGAAGCATGCCTGACCGATTAGGGACTTGGGTTAAGGTTCAGGGTTTAAGGTTTAGGGACACTGTTCCTACTACCCTCCCATACCCTCCCCTTGCCCCACCGCAACAAAGATGTACTTTGCGGGCGTGCTTCCGCAACTCGCAGTGTTGGCAAGGATTCAGACCTTGCCCCTGTTGCTCTTAAGCTTGCAGGGGCCCGCAGGGACCCGCGATTGCGGGTTTCCTTAAGAAAAACGGGACCCGCAGGGACCTGCAGGGACGTCTAGACCCGAAGTGAAAGCAGCATACGCGGTTTTGCTGTGTCTAGACCCCCGAAGTGAAAGCAGCAGACGCGGTTTTGTTGTGTCTAGAGTCTAGACCCGCAGTGAAAGCAGCAGACGTGGTTTTGTTGTGTCTAGACCCGAAGTGAAAGCAGCAGAAGCGGTTTTGCTGTGTCTGGCCCCAAAGTGAAAGCAGAAGACGTGGTTTTGCTGTGTCTGGCCCCAAGGTGAAGCAGCAGACGTGGTTTTGCTGTGTCTGCTCCCAAAGTGAAAACAGCAGTGGTTTGGCCACAAAGTGAAAGTAGCAGGCGTGCTTATGCATGCGCGGTACCGTGTACACACGATGTTTTCGTTGCCGAAGAAACGGAACAGCTATGAGGGCTCTACAAATCCAGCTGTTTCGACAGAGCTGCATTAGCCGGGCTCAAGTCGTGAAAAGCTTTTGTGTTGATGCTGCGAGATGGTGGCCAAGAAAGCGACGCCGGATCGAAAGCGTCGTGCTTGCGGGGAGTTGCGGGCGTTGGCCCAAGAGGTCGGTGTCGAAACTCCAACAAAGTTCGCGGACGTCGGCAAAGCTGTTTTCGACCAGGCAGGACCCTTTTGCCATGTTGTAGTTCAACCGGGTCAAAAGCAGCAAACTGCGTTGAAAGGAAGCACATGTCATGTATCCAGGTTGCCACACACGTTCGTGCTCTTGCCTCGCCACAGCAATGCTCCCAGCGCAATTCCAAGACTGTTTGCAAACTTCGTGTTTTTAGCGCGGAGTCAAGTTCCGCAACCTGACTTTGAGCAAGCGGATGCGCAGCCGCCAGCTGCGGCGGCGGCACCTGCGTTCCGTTTGAGATCGACGGGTTGCCTTTTCACATGGAATGGTTTGTCTTTGAACCCGATGATCTTTGAAGAGTTCGTGCTTTGGATTCACTCCTTGGAGTTCATCTATACCGGTTCAGTGCCACAGCGGAGAGGCCTGCTGGCAAATTTTGGAAGGTTTTTGCAAGCTTTTGGAAGCATTAGGTTTGGAAGTAGTGCTGGACCTTGACAGGTCGATGCACTCCGATGAACTACGCTACCACTTCCATGCTTTTTTCGAGTTCCAGCGCCATGTTGACTGGACGTCTTTGCGGACTGATGTGCAGTAGCGTTTCTGTTTCCTTGTTGTGTCGGCCTTTCACCTGTGTAACTCGACTCGATGACGGAGCGCAGGAGTGTGGAGTTCATTTCCATGAGGCCACATGCGCGTCCGACCTGTGCCAGAGGGCCGAAGCTGCGATCACGGGCATTTTTATGTCTATTGCGACAAGATTGGAACTGAAGCTGTCCAAGGCGGACTCTCCGCAAAAGCACCACAGGGTTTCTTCAGACATGTGCCTTGTGTGAAATTGTGTGCAGGGAATTATCTTCCGTGGCGTGATTACGCAGTTCGTGGATTCTGGATAGATGTGCTTTGGTCCGAGCATAAGCCGACCCACGCAACATATCTACTGTATGCGCGCAAGCCTTAGCAGTCTTAGCGTGTTGCCAGCACGTGTCGCAAGAGCGGCATCTTTCAAGGATCCCTGCATTCTGTGCTGAGGTCCAGAGTTCGTGTTGGTTTCGTGGGCCGCCAGAAGCAAGTAGAAGCTGTGCAGCGGTTTGAACAAGCGGAATGGTTTCTACAGAAGCAAACAGCGGTGGCGAGCCAACTTTCTGCCCTAAGACGACCCTTCAAGTCTGAGATTCTCGACCTCCTGCGTCCCTGGGCCGGGCAGTATGGGGAAGATCGGATGAGGTACCAGTTTCTCGTCATCCGCGGGGGGTCTTGTTCTGGAAAATCAACGTTGGCAAAGTCTTCGGCTTTGGTCAAACGTCCACACGCTGGGAGTATGCCGTACCTTCATGTGCAGTTATTCCGTCTGGCTCTGGAAGGTGCCCATAGTGGTAACTGTCGCTGATTCGGCAGAGTGGGAGAGTACAGAACCGTGGATTGCAGAGAATGCGAT